TTTGCCTTTGGTTTTGTCGCTTATCCTTGGGAGAGGAAAAAAAAAAAAAGAAATGTTTGTTCCTTCGGGTGGGTTTTGTTTGCGGATGGAGATGGGTTTGGGAGTGCGTATGCGGTACGTAGGAGTAGCTATCGTGATGGTACGGGCTTTGTATATGGTATAGAACGTTGGATGGAAAGAAGCTAAGCTAGGTAGATCTTTTGATGGGGAAATTAACCCCGGTCTCTTTCCTGTTATGCTGTTTTTGGTATCTTTCCTCGCTGCTGTGGGTGGTGGTGATGGGCTGGGGGGGGGGTGTTTTTCCTAGTTCTTATTGGTTTCTGGACATAGGTTTTCGTCCTGGCGGAGATTTTTCTTGGTGCGAAGTGGGTAGTTCGTGGTTAGTGGAGGGGTAAGGTGATGATATGCGTGCGATGTGCGGAGGGCTTTAACATATCTACTAGAAGGAGAAGAGCCATCGTGTTTAAATCACGGCAGTATTCTTGTTGTACTATCTCTCCCGCATCTTCCCAAGTCTAGCAGCGCTATCTTGCGGCGTCGTATAAATTATCACAAGTCATGGCCCATGGGTCTCCTCTGGCTGACTTGAGGCTGGATTGTTGCGGCGGCAACGGTGTATAGGCGTGAGCGTTCTTGTATTAGAGAGGGCATATTTGTGTTGGAGGTGCTGTTTATCGTACTGTGTTGAGGGATTCGGACTTAGTACCAAGTTCGTGGGAGCTACGAAGCAATGTCGGTATTTTTGTTTAGGTTTTTCGGGTTTTTGGATCACCGTACAGAAAAAGCAACATTGAAGATCAAAAGACAAAGGGTGATTATTACCATTTAAAGGCATGGTGTTGCTCGTGCTAGGATATCTATTGCTTCCTAGGCGACTGCAGGGTTGGTTGATCGTAGGAGTACTCTGGTTCTCACCAACCGCCGTAAGACAGAAAACGTCAAATGCGTGACAAAACCCCCCTGTAAGCTCCATTCCAACCAGCGCGAACTACAAGATAATAGTAAAAAAGTCCATCACAGAACCAAACCCCCCAAGACTTAATCCGACCAACTACTTAAACTAGAACCACTATCACTAGCAACATCGGACTGATCCGCCGAATCAGTATCGCCAGCAGCACCTTCCGACACAAACGCCTCCATCTGTTGCACGTACATCGTCTTGTCTGCTTCCGTCAAGCGATACTTGTGTTGCCAGTCCTCGCCCCTTTGGACAGATCTAGGGACATTGGAATCGTCGACAGAGGCTCGGACCCTCTTGCCTTGAACAGCGCGGAAACATGCAAGGCTTGAGAAATTCTCAAAGACCATGTTGTCGTTGATTCCTGATTTGTTGCCTGTCCATAAGTCGTCCTTGATAGCACGACATAACATATAACTGGGTTCAGGCCTGCGAGATTTGTGGTAGGATATAAACCAGTCTGGAGTGCTGAGGATCATGTTCACCAGGTGAAGGGTCTTCAGTCCAACAAGTTTATTGACCGAACTTATTTTGCGTTTGCGCCAAGGCATATGAGGCACATGGAGCAAGTCCTTCAGCATCTGCCTTTGAGGCTCACCAACCAAAAAACGGGAAAGAGAATGATCGTGGGCATCGAAAGTCAAATAGTGCACGACGGTGAGGTGCCAGATAGCGGATATTTGTGACGTAGTGCGGCTTTCCAGGAAAGTGTTCAGCACGTCGATATGAGAAAAGATGAAGACGTTATGACTGTATGGAATGAGTTTGGCTTCGTTGTAGATCTGTTTGCAGGTGCGGAGAAGACTGAGTCCCAGGCTCCGGATGTCATCTGCCCTGTGGGCTTTATTGGCGTTGTCCCAGCCACAACAAGGGGCTGAAAGCGACAAGTGTGCGTCTACGTCGACCCAGCCAGATTTGTTCTCTGTCGGACTCTTGATGCAGATATGATTTCTCGGATCCGAAATGAACCAACCCTCCACGTGCAAGCTGCGGAATTCAAGCGCGTGTTTGTAGATGAGTACGCGCAGCTCGGCTGGAAGGTCGAGGAACCGGAAAGTGGACTTCGGTTTAGCGCGGACGCTCAAGAAAGTGGGCTCCGGTTTGGCGCGAAGGCTACATTCGATAAGTCCGATGCCTGCTCCCTAGTGGAATCGATGTTTACCAGTTTTCAGGGTTTTCCATCATTTACATGAGCTCTTTCTTCTTCGGTCGCGTCCTACCCGAGACATCGTCATCCTCAAGGGTACTTGGGATTGTTGGTTGAGTCGGCATCTTGTTCATTGCAGATATGTGGAAGTGTCTCTGATGGGTGGGAAAACTGCGAATTTATAAGCTGAAAAACGAGCATCTGTGCAGCTCGTAGAGTGTATGGCGGCATGAGTTTGGTGATTCCCCGGGTTTGTCCTTGGAAACTCTTCTGTTGAACAGTCACGAGGATACTCAAAAACCGGAAGAAACTTCTCATGACTTCAATGCCAGACACATGGTAAGATGCCCAAAGTTGCCAGAAGAGCCATGGTAACATTCCCGGTTTTAGGGAGTTCCGGAAGGCCATGGTTCCGTCGCCTTTTCATGCCTATACGTGCAAGATCAAAACCTATGCCGCAATTAGTCAAGCTGCGGTGGAGATTCGATCTGACTGTATAATTGCTCATACAAGCCAGAAAGTCCTGGAAGCCTTTGGACCATTATCCACAGACTAAACATTCTCCGAACACCCAGACATCAGTGGTGAGAGTGATGCCCCACAAGCACCAGGCCGCAAACCTATATCTCATGGTATCGTCAGCTCAGGCAAAAGCAACCCAGTCTCGTCAAGAGCCTGCACACTTCAATTCAAGGTCGGTCATCCACCTACTTCCCCACTACAAACCTCCTTGTCCGCTACGGTCAAGGCGTACCTCGCAAGAGGTATCAAAAGCCAAGAAAGTATCGCTGTCTTCAACCGTGACAAGACCGCCTGATTCGGCACCGCTTGAGCGGATTGGACTTGGTGAAAGATTCAACCAAGACCATTGGCCGAGAAAATATGGCGACATGAAAAGTACCTACCTGGCTTCCGACAAGGGGATGGCGTTAGCTAGCGAGTGGAGTTTTGTCCTGGAAGAACTCCGTAGCTGCTGTACACAAGCAGAAGATATTTGATCCAAGAAGCACGTTGCTCTGACAGTGGATCATGAGACCGCAAGCTGGGGCACGCATGAGGAGCTGCAGTCGTAGAACTCCGCAGCTGCTATACACAAGCGTAAGATGCTTGATCCAGGAAGCCTGTTGTTCTGACAGTAGGTACATCAATATTCACGCCTCAACAGCAGTCTCGTGAGCTGCAGTCGTGGAACACATCACGTGATTTTTGTTGGGACGAACTCGGAACACCGGATGACATGCCAGCAAGACGCAAAGGGCCCAGAAAAGCCCAGAAAGGCGCGGAACGAGCTGGAAGAGACTGGAATCCGACAAAAACCAGCACAGGATGACAGGTATCGCACGCCACGCGTTCTCGGCCGCACCTCACGTGACTCGGCGCTGATTTCGCGATCTACTCCGAGCAGCAGTCATCAACCGTAGGGCGCGCTGGTGCATGCGTCATTGCTCTCAAGCGTCGTCTCACCGAGCGCACGAGATGCCGCTCGATCAGCCTGCGACTCCCTTTGTCATTGCCGCGGCAGCAAGTAGGTGCCCAGAACCCACGATGTCGGTCTCTTTGTGCTCACACAGCGTTGCCCAGCGAGAGCGACCGCTTCAGCCCGACTGTCGACATCATTCGGCCCGCAGAAGCCATGAGAGCGAGCGACGGCACCGCAGCGACCCTCAAGGTCAACGCTCCGCCATCGAGCGTCGCCATTGTCCCTGCCCGCACGCCCGACGCCATCGCCAGCACCCGCTCGCTCTTTCTGGAGTATACGGCGTGGCTGAACATAGACCTGTCGTTTCAATCGTTCGAAGACGAGCTCGCGGGCTTGCCTGGCAAGTACTCGCCGGAGAAGGGAGGGGAGATACTGCTGGCGGTGTTGGAACGAGGAACACAGCAGAGGACGACGGTCCGCGAGAGCCCGTCGACTACTAGCGTTGATGGTGCGTCGGCCGGTCTCGGTGGCTCATCGAGCGGCTCGTACCGGGTCTGCTCCTCTGGCCCAGCGGCGCCAATGGGTGCTGGAGATGGCAACGACGAACCCCTCGACGTCGAGACTGTCGGCTGTATTGCTCTCCGCGACATCACGCCCGCTTCGAGCACCAGCGTCTCTCACAGACGCATCGCCGAGGTCAAGAGGCTGTATGTGCGGCCGGCAGGTCGAGGGTCGGGGGTCGGGAAGAAGCTGGTCAAGGGGATACTGGACACGGCGAGACAGCTGGGCTATGCTGAGGTGTTGCTTGACACGCTGCCAAACATGGAGGGAGCCATCAAGCTGTACACGCAGAGCGGGTTCGTGGAGACGCAGAAGTATTACGATACGACGCTGGAGGAGACCATCTTCATGCGATGCGTGCTGGAAGAGGAGCTGAGCGACGCGACGGGTGCCGATGGTGGTGGGCGGCAGTAGGAGAGACGCGAGAATACGAGAGAGAACAAGAGACGTGGCATAGTTGATGAAACGCGTTTCGTCATGTCGCGACGCCACCCGGGCTGCGGCTTGCGGACTGGCTGTGCAGCTGCCTCAGCACCGGTCAGACCAGAAGGAGGGGCAAGTCCAGAGGGTCTAGGGCCCAGGCGGGGCAAGCGCGCAAGCTCATGTGGGTCGCTGCCCCTCACCACCACCCCACCACAGCTTGCCGCCCTGCCTGGAATGGCCCCCTCACGCCAGCTCGCCCGCGAATTCCGGAAGGCTGAGCTGCGAATCCGCCCTTTTCGAGATTGCCATCGTCGCCCCGCGGTGGGAACCGTAGTCGTATCCTTCGTCGCACGCCTCCTTCTGCCAGCCCGTGATCCTTCCCGCCCGTCCTTCGCACACCGCTTTTGCCGCCGTCGACCGCGCGACAGGCTTGGCGCCTGGTGCCGGGAGCCGTGAAGGAGGGGTGAGAGAGATGTCAGAGGCGCCGGCTGGCGGCCAATCACGCCAATAATCGCCGTCGACTGCCCACGAGCTCTCACAAGCTCCCCAACCCCCACAAGCGCAAGCCCGCCTCAGAAAAGCGGGTCGGAGGGCCCTCTTCGGCATCGATCTGGGCAGCCCACGTTCTCCAAATAGATTGGACCAGCGCAGTCGGGCGCCCAAGCTCCAGACGCAGCTCAGGGGCTGCCAGCAACCGTGATGTCCTGTTGCGTCGGCCACTCAGACTGGCGAATGGCGTCAGCGGAGCAGGCAAGCAGGACCCTGAAGCCCGCTCCTTCCAAGCTACGTCGTTGGCCTACGCACCCGTGACGTCCCCTCGCCCGCCTATTTAAGATGCGGAGCACCACCGCTGCCGTCGCTTCTTCCCCAGTCCAACTCCTGCTTCTACTTCACTCTCCATCCAAACAACTCCCCCATCCCACACCATCCACAATGTCTTTCCACCTTTCCGGCGAGGATATCCGCATCGAGGACAACCACATCCTCCGTGCCCGTCTCCGCAACGTCAACGGCGACCTCGTCGACGCCGAGATTGACCTCGACCACTGCCTTGGCAACGCCGACGGTATGCTTTCCTCTCGTCTCACCCCTCGCTCCCGACGACGCATGCTAATGACCCCTTGACAGGCATGATCCAGTGGGACAACCGCGACTTCTCCCAGTCCTGCCAGAACGTCCACTACGCCATCGAGGGTGGCGGAGCTGTCCCCGTCCTCCGCTGCGAGCTCCGCACCGAGGAGGGCAACTGGGAGGCCCGCGACGTCAACCTTGCCGAGCGCATTGAGAACCAGGACGGCCGCTTCGTCTTCAGTACGTTGTCCCTCTCATCCCATTGACGTCCCTCCATCAGACCAGACGGCTAACCCTCTCGCTCACAGCCTAAACGATGTCACGAACATGACGCCCCGGCGTCGCCGAAGCCCCTGACCCACCGGACGGATACCTGAGAATGGATGCTGGATGGACATGTGGACAGGATGGCATGGCATCGGAGCCAAGATGCTGTCAGTATATTAGCGACTTGATGGCTAGCTCTTGAATTCAATCGATTGAAAGCGACATGGCGTCTTCATTCACACTGTGACTGTTTCCATTGATGCGGCACCCCGAGGCGGACGTCCGCTGGCTGCTGGCTTCAGGCTTGTGGCTGGGCGGCGATCTTCAGGGTCTCTGCTGCGGCGCCGTGCCCCTCCCCCATTGCGGCTTGTGATGCTCAGCCACTGCAATTGTGGCTGCACTTCGACGCGACAAGCGTGCAAGCTCATCCGTAACACTCGAGCGACAAGACTGTCAAGCACAACAATTGACCGACAAGGACGTGTATCTAGGCAAGTAGACAGTAGACGCGCAGATTTTGCCCAGCGCCGACCATCGGCGTGAGCGTAGGCGTGAACGTGTCGAAGGACAGCTTGACATAGGGCTGTAGACGCGCCCAAGTCACGGATCTGCACTCCACATCACACGGGGCGGCCGATAACACAAGTACAGAGTAGACAGATCACAAGTAGGCTGGACACAAGTAGGACAGCACGGGCGAGCGAGCGGCTTCACATGGTATGGTAGGGAGTGTGTGCGCTGCTGTGTAGACGCGGATGTGGATGTGGAAGGAAGTCGATGCAGACGCCGATGCGGGGCAGCCGCCGCTGCCTGGAGCCTGCTGCCTCCTGGCGCCTGGCGGGCGTCGCGCCCTCTCGCGCCTCACACCCAGTAGCCCACCCCCAGCCCCGGCTCAAGCTCGCACAAGCTCGCGCAACCCTCGCGCCCGGGCAAACGACGAACCTGGCCGCGCGATGTTTGACGATAGAATCTCGGCTGGGAGTACGCTAGCGCAAACGGGTAAGCCGCGCTGCTGTCAGCGAGCGCGCAACGTTGGACGTCTGGCTGGGCTTGGAGGGGGCGGGGGGTGGGGTGTGCGCTTTCGTTTGCGTTTGGGAGGTCGTGCTTGTGCTAAGGTGCGGCTGTGCGGCTGGGGGAGGGGAGGGGGAGAGAGAGTGTAGTGCGTGATGGGGGAATTTTTGTTTTTCTTGGGAGAAGTTGGGGGAGAGGGTTTGGGGGGTGGGGAGTCTGATTCTGGGGAGCTTGAGGGATGGGCGTTGTGCTGTTAGTGGTGGTTGCGTTGCGTTGCGGCGTGAGATTGGGTGCGCGGTGACGTCACGTGCGTGGTGTGCACAGAGGCGGGCTTGGAGGGCCGGTGCATTCTCAATCGCGCATTGCAGGGGACATTGATGCGCAGGATTCAATGTAGGAGGAACGACATCGCTCAAGGTGAGGTAGTGCACGTGATAGAATGGTATTACATGGTGTCTAATCCGTAGCCTGCCACCGCAACCAGGCTGGTTTCTATCATGGCTTCAAGCCGCTAGTATGTGCGTCATCAAGGAATCTAATGTACAGAATGTCGTCTCTCGATCTCAAATCTTGGGCTCATCTTGCATCTCCTCCGCTCTTCGTGATCCAAAGTCAGACATCCGTAAGCTCGCATCAAGCAGATCACGTCTCCTCCGCCCTTCAATGATCCAAACCCATGAAATGATGAAACCCTCATGCTCGCGTCAAGCAGAGCACAGCTGAATGTTCAGACTGCCCAAGGGTGGTGTCTCCGTCAAGCAGTCGGCCGCATCTATAAGTAGTGGACAACAGTGTCGGCCTCCGGGAGGACCCAGCCGGCCCGGGCCCAGATCACCTCACGGACGTCGTTGACCAGCATTCCGTCGGCTCCGATGGAACGGCCTAAACCGTCCTTGTTATGTTGGAACTGCAGGACCATGGTCTGGATAGCCGGCTTGTTCATGTTGTCAATCAGGACGCCGACCCAGTCTGAGACTTTGCTCGCGTAGTGCTCTTTGAACTTGCGCTCCAGCTTCGGAGACTCCATGAGCCAGGCTGTGTTCCAGCATTCAGTATCGTTGGGGAAGGCCCTGAGTATCTCGTAAATGCGGCGGAACATGAAGCCGGGCACGCCGGGCGGCAACGCTGGTCCAGGGAGCTCGGTGTCCAGAAACTTGGCTTGCTGAGCAAGAGTCAAGAGCTCCTCAGACAAGAGGCCTTCGCGCGTAGGGATAAGAAGGGTGACATTGCGAAGGTGCGCGAAAAGTTGCACACTGAGCCGGAGGAATGAACAGGCGAGCGGCGACAAAGGGTGATAGTCGGCGCCAGCCGCAGACAAGAAGTTGACGGTGAGGTAGATACCGTCGGCGACAGGGATGACCGTGACGTGGAACGTCTCCAGGATGAAGACGATGACCATGTTGAAGAGGGCGGGATCGTAGAAAACAGGCTCAAGGGCCGTCAAACTGCATCCGAGGTAGCAGATGAGGAGCGCCGCCTCAAAGACGGGAAGCTGCGCAAAGCGGATAATGGCGTTGGTGGCAGCCATTGCTAGAGATTGTTAGCTACCGTGCGAGGGCAGCGGATGAAGCGATTCAAAGGCGGAGAGGCGTACCTTTGTGTGGTGGAGAGATTGGTTTGGAGCTTTTGAGAGGTTGTCGTGGGATGAACGCTGGATGAAGTCGCAGGCTTGAAGGTTGTTCGAGGAAGCCCCTGGCACGGCAAGCAAAACCAAATTTAAAGACGGTGGGCATCTTCAGTCCGCGCGCTCCGGCCTCTGCTCGTGGTAGTGAATGAATGCACCCGCTCTTGCCATCCCCGGGCGGGCGCGTTCTAATCGGCTTTGGTGACTCTCGTCGCATAAAGCTCTTAAAAGCTACACATTAGCTTCAAAAGGCAAAGTGGGACCTGTAGATCCCTGGGGTAGGGCCTGCGGATTGACCCCTGGTGATTGGATGGTTAGCATCGTGAAAGCGCCGCCTAGGAGGAGTGTCTCAGCGAAGGGCGCTTTCGCCGCGACGGGCTGCCCCAACCCCCTTGCCCCTGAGCCCAATGCCGTGTCAAGACCATCCATTGACGCGTATAACCTCAATAACCCTCGACTTAAGGGTCTACCGGTGGTTGTAGACGTTGTGCAGGCTCTGCGGGAGTGGCTGAGATAGCGTTGGGTCGTGGCTTTGGGCGGAACGCGGGGTTGGCGATCAGGCCCGCCCCTGGCGCAGATCAGCGCGGCACGCGTCTGGCATCGCCTACGTCAGTAGCTCGTCCCTTGGTGCTCCTCGTAGGCGCCCCTCTGTCGTGCTGCTCCGTCTGAACGAGGTGCTGGTGGATTTGGACGCCGTGATGGCGGTGCATGCGTATCGAGAGCCCTGAGAGGCCAAGACGCGTAGGCCCGGCCAGGACGCGGAGAAACTGTGGGCCCTGCCGTGATTTCCACCAGGCGTTCAGGCCAGCCGGCTGCCGGCCAGCGACTGACGATTCTCCAGCAGGCAGTCACAACCCTCCGCCGCACTCTGCTTGCCGCCCTCCCCCCTTCACCTCTCCTCCACCCACCCTCGTCCACCTCTCATCCGCCCCTCGATCTTCTTCGCAGCACACCACCATGCCCCTCGAAGTGCAACCACTGACCGACGCCGACGCCTCGAGGTTCGTCGCCATCGCGGATGCTGCCTTGGGCTCCACAGGTGTCGGTCTCTGTCTTGGGCCTCACCCTCAGCCTGAGATCGAGAAGACCCTCGCGTCAAAGCCGTACGTTCACTACCTGAAGGTCGTCGACTCGGACACGGGCGACGTGCTGGCCTGCGCCAAGTGGGAGATCCATGACCAAGGCCGGTCGGACGAGCAGCTCGCTGAGCTTGACGAGCCCATCCAGGTTGCCGAGGAGCAAAGGCAGTACGAGAAGGCTCACCAAGAGTTCTTCGGATACCTCAATGCCGGGCGTAAGGCCTTGGGCAAGAAGCCTCACTACTGTAAGTCAGATCATCTTCCCTCCGACTTCAGTCTGCCCGTGGCGTGGCAGGCGGTCCGTTGACGACATGAGCTGACTCGAACCTCGCTACCAACAGTCCTCAGCCTCCTGATCACCGACCCAAACCATCAAGGACGCGGCGCTGGCGGCATGCTGCTTCGCTGGGGCCTCGAGCGCGCTGACAAGGCCGGCTTGATCACATACTTGGAAGCCACCGAGGCTGGACGTCCCGTGTACAAGAGGTTCGGCTTCGAGGACATCAAGACGACGGAGTTCGACCTCAGCAGGTGGGGTGGCCAAGGCATCGAGCTGAACACCACCATGGTGAGGCAGCCTCAGGCAATGATGAACTAGCCACATCAAAGAATGTTTGGCCATCATCCAACGGACCAGCAGCCTCAGCCGCCCGTGGGCTTCTCAATCTTGTAAGTGATGATGACCTCAAGGTCCTCTCTCACTTCCACGCTGACTTTGTCTAGGCCTTGGTCGATGGGATGTCCGACATGTGACCATCATTCAGGGGATTCGAAACTCCTTGACCGATCATCCATGTTGACACGCTCATCCAGTCAACCCCTGACCACGTGATGCAATGTCGACAAGACCGGAGGCCTCAACAATGCGAGAGATGAGACTGGTCTGACCATGTGCCAGACCCATCGGCCGTGCGTTCCTCGACGGATGGGATCCTCGACATGCGATACCGGTGAGGTCAGAGTCGTGAGTCCAGGGCAGGGTGTCTGCATGTTTCCAGGTTCGTACTCCGCATTATCACTCTCACCCCTCAATCCTCTTCCATGCCTTCTAACGTCTTGTAGTTTCGCCTGTTGCTTTCCCTTGCTCTTCACCAGGCCGCTCATCAGCGGCGTGATCATTTCCTGCCTCCGGGGTTTCAACAACTTCGAGGTCTGCAGGCGACCTTGTCCTCGACGAGTCCGCCGAATTTTTTTCGTCCTGTTTCTTCCGGTCTTCAATCTCTCACCTCAAAAGCTTTTTCAACGTTGCTCTTTCGTCCTTTTCCCACATCCAGTCAAATTTCCTTGCTCTTTCATCTGTCGACATCTTCCATGCCACTCCACAGCATGCTTACGGAGTGTGCTGTCTCAGTCCTGCAAAGCATGTCTTGATCTCTTTCATACTCTCCAAATGGTTCTTCCGTCTCTTCAAGAAGACTCCATGTTGCCATTCGTGGCGTGGCTCTCCGCGTCCCGATGGTTGCAGTTGGTTTCCGCACCTCTCTTTGCTCTTGGTGACTATGTTCGTGTTCTCTGCTGTCAAAGTGTGCTTCTTTAATCTCCTGATGTTATCAGCATCATCTCACCATCAATGGATGGGTGGGTGGGTAAGAGTAAGTACTGACCAGTTTCATACTCTCTCTTTTCAACGCGAGTACCTGCAGTGGGAAGTTCCTTTCAAGCTCTGTATCATTGATCAGTCATTTCGTCTTTTCGTTTGTCTTGGGTGGGAGGTGGTCTCTCACATTTTCCTTTGCGAGTACCCATAGTGGGAAGTCTGTCATTGATTTCTTTTCCTTGTGTCATTTCAGTTTCTCTGTTCTTTTTCGGGTGGGAGGGTGGGCTCTCACATCTTTCTTTTTGCGAGTACCCTTAGTGGGAAGTTTCTTCAGTCATTGTGCTTTGTTGCGAGTACCCTCAGTGGGAAGTTTCCTTGGTGCTTTGTGCTTTTGTCTTGTGTTCTCGCGAGTACCCTCAGTGGGAAGTTTCTTTGCGTTGGTTTTCTGTTTTGTGTCTTTTCGCGAGTACCCTCAGTGGGAATTTCATTGCTTCTCTTGTGTTCTTGCGAGTACCCTCAGTGGGAAATTTCATTGGTGCTTTTGTGTTTTCGCGAGTACCTTCAATGGGAAGTTTCATTGTGTGTTGTTGCGAGTACCTTTAGTGGGAAGTTTCATTGCGTCTTGTGCTTTTGCGAGTACCCTTAGTGGGAAGTTTCGTTGTGTCTTTTGATTTTGCGAGTACCCTCAGTGGGAAATTCTTTTGTCTCTTGTGTTTCTGCGAGTACCCTCAGTGGGAATTTGTTTTCAGTCTTTCTGTTTTCTCATTCTCTTTCTTTGGTTCTGATTTTTTCCTATGTCTGTTTCCTTTGAGTCAGCAATGATCCGCCTCTGGCGTATATTCTTACCCATTATTATTACCCCCTGACTTCATTCTTACCTCTCTATCTTTACCCCTATTATCATTACTCTTTCTCGGCACGCCTTCGACTCGACAACCACAACACTATCCATCGGCAACACCAGCGGCGGCGGAACTTCTCGACAGTCATCAGCTACGACAGCATCGGTATTCAGCATGTCGCCAAGATCAATCTCACCTCCGACTTTTCAGACTTCAGCACCATCACAACCCAACTGCTCGGCAACCGGTGCGACAAATGTCTCGGGTGGATCAGATCTGGGCGTTGAGGTTGTGGGCTGTGGATGGAAGTGTCGGACCAGTGACGAGGGTAGGTAGGAAAACTTCTTGGGTCTGTCTGAGGTGTTTGCTTGTGATCCATGGCAAAGTGATGGGTGGGAGTCTGGACCTATACCGAGTTGAAAATCAGCATACTCAATCATCATCATCATTTTCTGGTCTTGAATGTCTTACCTTGCTCATTGACCCCGAACCTGTCAATTGTATCACCCTCCTTCCAGCTTGATCGATGCATGTCTCGATACCGAGGACCAAAGGCAAGACCGGAGATAGGATACTGCATCTTGTCGGGTGTAAGTACATACCCCTGCCAGCTATGTTGAATGTTGGACCTCTGGGAAAGCTGACACGGTAGGTGCATGATTGCGAGACAGGGGCGGCGATGGGATGTCCTCCTCGGCGTCATCTCCGAGGGCAAGTTGGTGGTCATCCCAGCCATCGACCCCGACAACGGCGGCGTCATGGTATCGGCGGAATGTGCTCTCTGGCCCCTGAAGCCGGTGGCTGCGTGCGGGTGGTCTGCCTTCAAATTCCGAACCACGGCGGCATTGTGGTGCGTTGCTGGTCAGCTCCATACTGATATTGTGGCTTCTCGTCTGCTTCGGTCGTTGGCCCCTCGAAGCAAAGCCTGCCAAAGTGGTTGTCGAAGGAGCTTGGCATGCCGCATATCCCATGGGCTGGCAACCAAGTCTTGTGCTGGTGGTCGACATCATGCTTCTCGCTGTGGCTTCTCGCCAAGTGGAGCTCTCAATATTCGAGGAGAGGCTGACCCTTGGCCAGTGCTGGTCAATATTGTCGGCTGTCACCCAAATCTCAGCATGTCTCATCATTGAGGAGGTGAATACTTACAGTTTGTCAGCTTGGTGCTGGCCTCGGAGTTCTTGCCGCCGATGGTTGACATTTGATGATCTTGTGGCTTCTCAACTGCTTGTCGTCGGCATGTTCCTGACCTTGTGCAAGCGTCCAATTGGAGCCAGCCCCGTTCGCTATGATGTTGGAGATCATCGGCGTGCCGGGCGGCCAGAAGTGGAGTCTGCAGTGATCGTCGACGCTTTTTCGAGCTGGAGCCCCAAAGGGGTGTTCAAGTGGGGCTTTGGAGCTGGTTCTCCGTCCATAGAAGTATGGACTCCTCCGCGGCATGCCGTCTTGATGCATTTCGGCTGCGCATCGAGCTATGGGAAGATCATGCTGGCCGCCTCTGCCCAATGTCAAGCTGATCGTTAAAGAAGCTCGAATGCCATCATGCGGGCTTGTTGCCATCCAGGATGTCAATGAAAACCTGAAGCTGTCGGAAAATTGGGCAAACCTGGTCATTCAAAGTAAGAATCGGAGCTAATGGAGTCCTGGAAATCACATACCTTCAAGGTCACAAATGGCAGCCATTGTCTCTTAGCCTGCGGTGAGGACATAGTCTTTGCTTGGGCCGTCGAGACGGATTTCTGCGGAGCTGCACCAGCAAGACCGCCAATGATAGTCGGCTTTTCCGGCATGCGATGGAACACCTCTCGAGTCTTTCGGTCTTTCTGAAGACCTCACTCTCACTGTGTATGAAACATACCCAACGGGAAGGATCTTCGCCTTCGTAGTGGCATATCCTCGGCTCTCGCGCAATGCGGTCGGGGTTAGGGGTCGAAGTTGTTGCTGCAGGATACCTTCCGAGCTCGAATCGAAGACTTGCGAAGCCGCGGCGTGCAGCACTCCTGTCTCGTAGTTCGGTTTGCCCCTTGTTGGATAGCGAGCGAATGGGCCAACCGGAGTCTGAGCTCAAAGGTTGTTAGGACGACACCTTCATCAGATGGTTGCGCACCTGAGGACTCTCCCAAGGTCAGTCGCTAGGTAGTAAGTTGGCACACGCAGAACAATGGCACCAAAGTTTGTCGAATATGATGTGAGGGTTCCCAAGCGAGGATCGAGGTGTCGTTCTGATTTCTTCCACTCAATCATGGGAGACCGAAAGCGCCCGAGCCAAACCGAAGTCGCCTTCAAGTAAGCAGTCGTGGTGTGCTGTGATCTCAGTTTGGTAGAAGACAATGAAGTGAGCTTTCGAGTGCGCAATGTGGTGAGTCTAAAGTCGCCTGACTCCAAGTTAGTTGCTGCTTCGCGGGGTCGGGGAGGCCTCATAGCCTGTTACGAACTTACCGTACGACCTGCACTGTGTTCGGATCATCGCGCATTGAGCATACGCGTTCTGGAAGCAACAGTGAACGGAACACATCCCCTGCGCCCTCGGCGAGCATCGATTCGCGGATGCAAGTCTGGCCGTGATGAATGATGTTCAAGGAGACTTTTCGGCTCCATCCCGCGCCCCTGTCACTTGGCTGTCTGCTTGGTACTTGGCACCAAGCTTCAGAGCTCAACGCCAACTGACCGAGGATCACTTGGCAAGTGCCAAGCTGGCTCGACAGCTCGCGTTGCACATTCCAGTCTGCTTATGTAGCAACCTGCTGAACTATTAGCGCGAGACCATTGCAGCTGGTGACGTAGTGAAACGATGGGGTCCCGATCCTGGATAGGACCAAGGCGGCACAAGAAGCTCACCGGATCAACCATAGAAGCGTCAGTGACCTCGATCTTTCTCAAGTCGATCCTTGCGTAGGATCTGAAAGGCGTCGACGGTTCCGTTGTTCCGACTGATAGTATGCGCTTCATGGTGAGGCAAGCAAGTCCGGAGGAGGATTATCGTAGCGGATGAAAGATGCAGGGTGCGTCGCTTTCCTCTGAAGCCGCTCGCGGCCCTCAAGGCGGTGCTGTGAGAACAATTGGTTGATTGTTGCCTTGGCTAACACGTTAGCGGGAGGGTTGGGTTGGTGTTGGGGCTTGATCGCGTCGCAATGGCTAGCAGCCTGGTGGGTAACCTTACCTCTCAACTTTCACTGCACGAACACTTGCTATGGAAACCTCTCGCTGGATTGATGAGACTCAGAAATCGGGACGAACAGCTCCAACATCACAGTGGCCTTGAGGCGTTGGGGATGTGCTTGTTGGTTGTCGCATGGCGTTTTGCCGGAAAGGGGTTGGCATGGGAGCTGGTGACGGTTGAGGAAGTCCTGGTCGTGCATGGATGGCATGAGGGTCTGAGAGGAGGACCGTTCGACGCGTTGCTTGTAGATGGCCTTGTTGGACGTAGAGCTTGAGAGCTCGCGGGGGGCTGGCGTGGGATGGTGATTGTCGGAGGGTGGTGTTGCGCGCGGGTGGCGTCTGACTGACGGGTTTGGCAGGTCCGTTGCGCGCACGTACATGGCATGCGCTAACAGGCAACTCCTCTGACGACAGCCTTGGTAGCTTCTTGATCTTCTACCAGCTCGCACACTCCTCCGCTCACTCACGCACCACGGCAGACTACCCCCTTTCCCATAGCACCGAGGCAAGTCCCTTCTTCTACCCCCTAAGCAGGTCACCTTGACGATCCTTCGAAGAGCACTGCTGGCTAACAAGCAGCAACAGCAGCGACAGCATCACCACCAGCACCAGCAGCGCCGGCAGCGCCGGCACCAGCATTTTCAGCAGCCGTATGCAGCAGCAATTGCAGCTGCAGCAACTGCTGCAGGAGATATTTGGTATGCAGTACCTTTCGGCACGGGGTGCGACCGTAAAACCCTTACACTGATTGCTTTACACTGGACTGACAGAAGGCCTTGCTAGAAGACCCGCACGCAACCTCCCCAGCACTCACCTACCCAGCAACCCCGGACTTCTCTCCCTCCTGCGCCGCGCCAACCATCTGGGCACTTGGCCCCACTCCCAAGCAGGCCCATGGGCTGCCCCCTGTCGCGCAGGCACAGCAGCCAATTGCACCCCAGCAACAGTCGCCGACTGTCGGCACACAGGCTGCCCAACCATAAGCGGATGGCAAAGATCCGTCGTTCGAAGAGGATTCGGAAATCCTTTGCTGAGGAGACCCTCAGCTTCCCCAAGCTATGTTGGCGGTGGGTCTGCCCATTGGTCATACTTGTGGGTGAGCAGCCAGCTCGTCTTACATTGAGTTCGATCTGCATCTAACTCTGGCATTGAAAATAGGGCTTCAGCCTGGCACAGCAGAATTGGCGTCGGAGACTCGAGCCTTACTGGCTAAGGCCGGAGACTCGAGCCTGATTGCCGTCCCCGGTCCCCCGCCCCAAAGAACTCCTCTGCCGCCACGGGTCACATTTGTACATTTGTAATGTAGAGGGTTACAATTGCTATAAAGATTTCTTTGTCTACCCTTCTGTGTGGTGTGAAGCCTTCGTGATTGAGTATGGAGGCGCGTGGCAATTAGATGTTCTTCAACATTGTCTACTAACAATGCCTTTTATCGATCGATCTTCCTAAAGCGCATCTTCGCCATACTTGCAAACTCCCAAAGCTACGAAACAGACGGTTGAACTCCACGGTTTCACTGGCTAAGAACCCGATGTGTGTTGTAGCAGGGCACCCAGGATGCTGTGGCTCACTTAAGATGGTACTGTGGCATAGCTACGTTGCGCAGAAACAATCGAGGATCGAGTCCTCACCATGTTGTGTTCAACAAAGAAGTACATGAAACCAGTGGAGTGAGCACCCAGACTTTTGCTTTAAATTCCTCCCCAGACCTTCTATGCAGCTTCCAGTCTTCTGTAAAAGGAACGGCCAACGTCGTTCATAAAGTACAAACGATTGTGCAGCCACCTAGCAGCCCAATCGGGGGAACTTTTCCATTGCGTGCCTTGTGTTTCAGGATGCCTGCGACCGACGGGTCTTGGACAGTAGGCATGCAAAGGCCAAAATCTATGAACATGATTGTTAACAAGCGTTCTCTCTCACGGTAGTTCAATAGGACTTACGAACTTGTAATGTTGGAAGGCTTCTGTTCGACTTCCTCCTCGCCGCCTTCCGGCAGAAAGCCGCTCGCCATGTCAAAGGTTCCAGCGCCATACCCGGCATTACCTCGCTGCGCATGACCAAGCTCATCATGTCGTCCGCGAAGGGGTCGTTGTCGCTGATCAGGGCCATGCCCCTGCGGGAGACCTTGGGCGAGTCTGGAGTCTTGTCTCCATCTGCCGCAGGAGTATCCGAGTCTTTTCGGACGAGAATTGACTTTCTGCGAGCAGTGCTGATGAAGCTGCGACACTTCTCAGGCGAGGGCCGCGGCGCATTGACGTCACCCTCTTCCTGGACCTTAGTAGGCGAGAAGTTCTGCGAAGAGGGAACCCAAGGCTTGTGGCGAAGTTGCGTCAAGGGCCTCTTGGGAGTAAGAGCTTCGGCGATTGTGGGGGCTCGCGGTGCTTCCGCAGAGCTTCGTAAGGGTCGTCATCCAAGTTGGGCGCATGGCCCGGGGCCAAGCCCGTAGGCTGTGAGGAATGAAGCACCCGCGTCAGATCTCTGTGGTTGGGAAGGAGAGGCGAGTCTTTGAGACCTTGTTGATGTACCTTGGCGTGGGAGTGGTTAGGCCAATACTGGTAGTAGATATGGGACGCTGGAACTTGGAGAGTGGATGAGAGAGAGAGCCCGGGGATGTAGTTGTCGTTGCAGTTGCTGCTAATGGTAGGAGCACCGGCGCGCGGCGCGCTGTGCTGCGAGACGCGCCTGCCGGCAGGCGGCGAGATGCGCTCAGGTCGGCGCATCATGCAGCCGACAGTGACGCGTGAACGCGTGATAAGGAACACCAACGCCGATATTTCCCTCGTACTTGCTTACAACTGATCAGAAGGATCCACATTTATATGATTTTCGGTCTGCTGTCGTTGCGAAGAGCTTCATTGTTCCAGAAACCCACCCACCACTGTCGACGACGTGCCACTTAGGCCCTATAAGGTACCAAGGCAAGTTAAACAGTAAAATAACTTCTGCGTTTGCCTTGAGACGGAAGGTAAGAGCTGCATTGTCCTGGTATAGGTTATCTAGCCAAGACTTCATCACTGACAGAGGAGGCAGATCCGAAGAAAGCTGAGTCCTTCCTCAAAACCCCATACAAGGCGAGAGTTTGCATCAGCCTGTGGTAATACTACTTGGTTTTAAGCAGCCACTAACATGCCCAGAAATTAATTTGTCCATCGAGATATAAAAGAGTAACTCCCAACCTTTCCATCACTGGCAAACAACTTACCCGCGACGATACCCGATCAGTCTTGCAACCAGAACATCGCCACCAAAATGTTTCCAGAACTTCTTCAGATCATCCTGATCCTCTTAGTGTTGCCCCTCCTAGGCTACGCTGTCATCTTCATTCTTGCTTGTATTCTGATTGTATTCGAGGATCGCCAAGACCTACTCCCGCGCCGCATGCGCTTCATGTGGTAGACGAGGAATCTAGCTCTGCAGCTCGTACGTAGAGCAGAACATGCTGATGAGAGCATGTCTGATTGCCTCGATCATATGCTTTGATTTCCCTACTTGCAGGCTAGCATTACCGCACCACGATCCCTGGTACTTGAGTACGTAGGTTTTCCAGCCCTGCACTTGCTACATTGTACGTCCTGAGGCTAATATCCACCCAAAGCAGTAGACGGTGCCAGTAATGGTTCGGCCTTTTGATAGCTTTCTTGCAATGAAAACACTGGACGGACGCTGATCCGAACATAATTCTGATTCTTTATGCAAACTGTGAAATTATGATGAAACTATACACCTTTTCTTCTTATACCTTCAAGCTTGTCAGGTAAATTTAAGTGAGCTTTGAACGTGAAGCCGTAATTTAGAATACCCATGTCGAGATTCGCAGCTCAAGCCTAACAAACTATCCTGCGCTTCCTGTCTAAAATTTGTGGCTCGTAGATGCATGTCTCCATCCTGGTTTAATCCAGGCTCCAGCCACCCAAACTAAGCCTCAAATACGTGAAAAGGGCCATGAACAGCCTGCGGCTAGGTCTGCGGAGATAAAGCTATTGTTATTGAACAACATGATCTTCTTTGTGAAAAGATCAACACATGAATACCACAAAGCATTTTCCAGCTCCAACAAAGCCCGTCGAGGAGGACAGCGAAGCTGGCTGATTGTGTAAAAAATAAGAGAACATGGTGGATTGTTCCAACAGAACATAGGAGTGGTCATCTGGACGCACACAGAATCGCAATTAAGGACTGGAAGCGGCCTTGTAGGCGTGGAGGAGCAGAGCGGGGAAGAAGCAGGCGGATGGGCGCTTTAAAATGCAGGAAAAAGCAAAGTCAACATGGAGAGCAAGCTTAGCGTCAAAAGAACCAGCATGAACTAATGGTCTAATAGCCCGACAGGGCGGGATGCTGCAAGGGTGGTCGATAACAGGGTAGAGGTTTGGCACAAAAAGGCAGTGCAGGTGGTTGAGGGGGCCACCGAGATTCGAACACACGACCAGTCCGGCACACGAGTTTCCAAAAAAAACGGGAGTTCTCTTTGATTAAGCGTGTCATCCTTAGTGCAGGGGCCATGCTAATCTTCTCTGTATCGTTTCAAATTGACCAAATGTCCCTGGGGGGTGAGCCCCAGGGACGAAAGATGGTCTCGCTTTCTAAAATTATAACCCCTACTTGTGACTCAGCCGATCTTGCGACTGTTACGAGTCACCAACAGCTCGTGCACGTGCAGCCAGCAACAAGCATCAGCAGTACTTGGACTACTTTTCCTCTGCTCACTCGATCAACCAGCGATCTTGTTAGAGCCTACCTCACGCTCCTCAACATCACTACTATTCGCTAGCAACAAGCAACTTCCACATGTTTAAACCCCACAAGCCTTCGCCGTTCGCTCAAAAGCTTGGATATGTAGCAAAGGACTATCGCACAACGATCCAGACCGCCAACCAGTTCGGCCTAACAGATAGCCACTACAAGCTCAGGGCACCATTCCGCCACATCACCCTTACCCGAGGCGACGGCTATACTCAGTACCAGGAGCGGAAACCGAAGCGCGCGACAACTTCAAAACACGACCAGCAGGACTTCAACAGCCATCGCGATGCGAACCTGCCCTAGGTGCTCGAAACCATGCCCTGGTATCGGCGTGTCAGCCATACGGCCGCCAACTACGAACGAAGTCTCCCAAAGTGCCATGCGCCCGAGGAACTGAGCATTCATAAAGCCTAACTGTCGACGTTGCCAGTCTCGACTGCGAGGAGTGCGACAGCTTGTTCCAAGACAAGGGACAACGGCGAGGATCGTCGTATGACGATGGGTGGGACAGCGCGTCAAGTTGGAAGAACCGGCTGCGTTACCACTATAACACGAAAGAGAAGGCGTTGTGGAAGCTGTAAATGATTCGTAGTGAGGTCACGGTAAAGAGTTTCATGATGCGGAACACTTTTCTTTAGCAGCGAAGATACTCAACGTTGTAGGCTTTAGATGCTCGAGAGCGTATGTAGAAGCATTAAGGCCACGCAGTAGCACTTAAGCCACAATCAAGCGGAGAGAGCGAAAGTGTGAAATGGCCAGAGGCCCGAAATGCAATTCGTATCCCGCTTTCCATAATCCACCCAGAGGAACCTTGCCCACGAAGGCGAAGACCAAAGTCCCAACAACCCCAAAGCAAGCACGCTGCACATCCTCCACGCCCATTGCGGCCCGGGGCATCCTTGATCTCGCGGTGCCGCTCCGAGCGGACCGTCAGCTGAAGCTCATCGTGGGCCCCTAATGACCTCCCGCGCCGACTACCCGTCATGATGCACCGCGAAACCGCCGCCAGGTGGGCCGGCGATCAGGGTCGAGGGATAGAGGGGCCCATAACTCGGGGGAGAGAAGTAGGGCGCCTATCTTTTCCTTCTGTGAGTCGATAACCTCCCGCGGTATTTCCGGCGCTCTCCTTCCGGACGCACTGTGTCGTCTTAGCCGGGATGTCATTGCGGACAAGCTGACCATGGAGGGCGGGAGTAGAAGCTCCACTAGCGGTGGCGCAGCCTTTAAAGGTCAGGATCGAAGAGAGGGGAGGCTAGAAGAGCCGAGATCGGCGGTAGAAACTGGAAAGAACAAGGCCGCGGTCGGCGCGAGGGGCGAGATAGACCACCTCTAGGTATGCTATCGCGAGGAGTAGTTGTCTGGCGCTCTGAAGGTCATACTAAAGATAAGGTGTTAGTGCGGCTCTTGAAAGGGTAAGAGATCTCATACATTGACGAAGCTGAGTGCCGGATCCGCACCCAAAGCGATAACATTCACAGTCACTGAAACTTGGAGCCGCCCGAGGGCCTGAGAAACAAAGACCTGTATTGCTAACGCCCTCCTGCATCTACGTACATGGTAAAGAGTAACATCACAGCCTCTACTTAGGGTATCAGCCGATCCACACCAACGTCCTTGGTCTGACTCCTCTAGGATAACCTGTTGACTTTGCCGCTATTCTTGAAGCTGTATAGACGTGGAGACTGGCAGAAAGAACTTGAATTGGAACTGACGACAGTCGAGGGAAGAAGCCCAAGGTGTGGAATTAGAAAGTTGCAGCTATGGAAGCTCTTGAGGATGAATGTTCGGCTGCGACTGCGAGAAAGATGAGCCTGTACATGTCAGTACTTGTGTCTGTTAACAGCATTGCAAGTTGTGCTTACTCGACCAATGTGTTCCTTGGGTGTCACTGAGGAAAGAGACGTTGAGTAGTCCGAAAGGCTGGATGCCGCTTTTAAGATCCTCCCAGTTGATCCTTGATGATCCGCCGAGAAACGACTGTCCAAATGCATTGGGCCATGGCGTTTTGTTCTTGAGAAACAGATGGCGAATGAGTCTCAGCGTGAAGAGCCTGAACTCCATCCATGTATGTTGACAAGCAGCGTCATCGGGCCGGTATTGCATAAGAGGTGTGCTGGAGAGAGATGTTCAGCTCGCAGGCCGAGCATGCCCATTGACTCGAGGCCGAAAGGTGCGTCTCCACGTCTGTGCCAGAGCGGCTTCTAGGGAGCTGTACAAGCAGGCAAATGTCAATACCATTCCGATAGAACCAAGTATAGGATAACCAGCGACGTACCTCTGTCTCAACCCGAGCCCGTAGCGCAAATGCATCGAACATTATCCCAGGCCGCGGCCCTAGGCGGCCCCAGAACAGCCAGGCCGTTGCATGTGTGGCTGTCCCGGGGCACTGGCGTGGGTTCCTTCGCATAGCGGGCCTACGGCTGGGGCGACAGCTCGAGCTGTCACCAAGGTGTGTCAGAGAGTAGATGAAATTTGAAAAAGAGGTTGTGTTGGCGGCCGGCGGGTGTTTCTTTGGAAGTTGTGGAAGAGCTGACACCGGGATAATCTGGTGAGGGACAGAAAGGTGGGGGAGAGGCAGCGCTCGGTGGCATAGACCGAAAGTGCAGGAGCGAATGAACTGGCGCGGCTGCACAAGCCTGCACTGCCAACCCTGCGGTTCCCCGGCTCGCGCCTAGCGCCTGCAGTGGTAGCGTTAATAACAGGGTTGAAGGGAGTGTCCTTAATGTCTACGTCAGTCGTGCGGATGGACATCTGATGGGGAGACTGGTTGGACATCTGCTGAGCATGCATCTGGGCCGCCATCTGATATGCATGATTGTTGAATGCTGGCATCTGTCGATAGGTGTTGGCTGAAGAGCCATACTGCGACAGTGGGCTTGGGTTTCTTGGCCATGTCTGCGTATGAGAGTTGTTGACCAGAGACATTGAAGGGCTTGGCGCGTTTCGCGGCCTCCTGGCAGCATAACCATTAGCGAAAGACAATGTCTAGCCCCTCATAGGCTGCTTACCATGGCCGGAGGCCCAGAATCCGAATGTAGTCGCTATCAGAGTGCCCAAAGCTGGGCTTGGCGCGTTCCTGGGTCTCCTGGCAGCAGGGCCATCAGAGAAAGACGAGATCTGGCTCATGGGCCTCTTAAGCCCAACCATAGGAGGTCCGAATTGTTCTTAGGTAAAAATATGCCGACGACGCAAACTAGAAGGAGACGGCAGTGTGCCGTCAGAGTTCAACGGGAAGAAGAGAATCCGAATGTAGTCGCTGTCAGAGTCACGAAGTAGAGAATTGTTGCTGGCAGAAGAGGTGGAGGGAGGGAGAAGAGATTGAGTGGAAGAGAGACTGAGAGTGAGGAGCTTTCGGTGCAAGGGCAAGCGCGGCTGAACAGGTCACGTCATGCGCACTTTCAGTACCCATCGCACTTAACTATCCCGGACATGGCAGGCAGCGCTCGTAGCAAGTAGGTGTTGGTTGAGCGCTGCGTGCATCTTAGGTCCTATAATTAAATATCCATGCAGTACAAGGGCAATGACGGGTCAATTTAAACATTCTTACCGTGCTAAAAGCTCTTTCAACAGGATTGCGCATCATGGATCTGCATAGAGGAGTTCTTGATGATGAAAATCGTTACATTAATTCCAAATCTCTATCTGATGCCTCTCTACGAACGTTTCCAATGCTCCCTGCAATGTCTCATAGAGGTCTGCAGAGGTCTTGACTCCTGGTTGTCTTATACCATCGTCTGCCATCGTTCGGAAGAGGCCAGGCTGCGGGATCGGTACAGGTTGTGCCTGGAAGGCTGGAGCTGGAGAATGAAGTTTGATTGTACCTACTTCAATGCGGTCGAACCACGACAGATATTAGCTTTCTGGCCAAAGACGATAGAGACATCGTAGTGAAAAGTTGATGTTGGGAAGTCAGACGATATATGGTAACAATTTTTTTCCGTCACAAGGACACCATAGGTGACCCGTTAGGAGCTACAGAGAGAGAAATCATCATGTAGATGGGCTATGCTATGTTGAGAAAGAGGGGGATAAACACATACCTTTAGTGACAGTGTCGGCGTTCCTCTTCACTTGAACCCTCCGAGAGAAGTCGACACTGCAACTAGATGAGGTTTGACCTGCTAAAGGCATGCCGCATAAATGAATCCGAATGTAGTCGCTGTCAGAGTCACTGAGTTGTAAAGTGACGTGGCGGATGAAGCTCTGGAGAAAGCTGTGCGATGCGCAGAGCATAATGTATTAAGTTGGGGGAGGTCTAAGGTGGTCAGTGAGATGCGTGGGGTATCAACTCATTGAGCAGCGAGGCGACTTGCCGTCAATCAGGGCACGTCCGCTTTTTGTCTTTGGCGCTCATTCTTTCAGGCATGAGGTTTCCAACCTTTTACAAGAGTTAGGTACTATAGTTGACAGTAAGGAATGACGCGGGAGAGTGTACTTACAGCAATGGACTTTAACCGGCTAGCCGACGCGACGGTAGTGTGCCACACAGTGTAAGTCTGTCCGCACTGGGGAAACCAGTGGAAGAGCTTGTCGACAGTGAAGGGACGTGAGGGAGAATAGAGGAAGCTGTACAAGACACAAGTCCAGCTGCGTCCGCAAGAAGTCGGGTAAGAGGTGAAGGATGGAGGAGGTTGAGTGGACTGGAAAGATAGGTAGGTAGGTAGGTTGTATTTGGCGAGAAGGGTGTGTGGGACTGATCTAATCCGCTCGCACTCTCGGAGCCGGTTGACCCGGCAGCTGCGCCAGCCCGCACCTAGCGACAGCAACTTCAGCTGTGGAAGTTCGGCCGGGGAATGCGAAAACACAGAGAAGCTTTGGCCTTGGAAACCAGCCGGGCCTGCAATGTCAGATAGTTTTTAATCACTTGGTCAATCGAATTAAGAACAAAAAGTTAGTAGATGTCAAATTATTTGATATGTTTGATAGATATCGCATCCACCAAGAACAACAACTCCACCGCCAACATATAGTTTGAGAGCGTCCCGGTTTGGTGCCCAAAGACCTCACATTCCGAACTGCATCGAATGGTGGTGAGTATGTACAATATCTAGTGGAGAGCTGTTAGTTGCTGACTGCGAGAGATGATGAGAAAGAGCATCAATGTACCATAATCGGGGCGATCCCCGGACGCCAGTAGTGGGGGCTGCCGCCATGGGGCCGGCACTCATAGGATCGGGCATCCCGGATACACTGCGCGGGTCCGGATACACTGCGCGGGTTCGGATTGATCACGGGCACTCGCCGAAGACGGCGACGCATATTCGAATTCAGAAAACGTTCAGCTCATGTGGCGCTGGTGGCAGAGCTCAAGGATTTCGAATGAGGAGTGGCATGCGCAAAGATTTTTTGGATTTTTTTTGGATTTTTGTGGTGTGGTGTGGGAGGAAAGAGAGAAGGAACCTCCGGAGGAAGTCGCTGCCTATAAGGCCTCGACTGCTTAGTCAAGTCGCTGCGGCCATTGCTCCGGAGATACATGACACCGGAGGAAGGCACGCGTGCGCGAGGAGGCAGTTTGGTAGATATGTACCAGACACAGGCAGCAGATCAAGCATCCAGCACCGAATGGCAGCAACCTTTGGGCCCCAGGAGGCGCAGTCCCAGCCAGCATCGTCACAATCGGCTTCGCCATAGAAGCAGCAGCGACCTTTTGACTGGGCGCCTCTTGAGTAAGCCCCAACCAAGAGGTTCGCGTCGGCCCTGGGTCTTTCACCTCCCTCCAAAGTTTGAAAGGTTCTCTCGCTGATGGCCATGTAGAAGAACATTCCTGTCTAGCAAAGCCGAAGACACGCATCAACCGATCTCCCTTCCCTCTGAGTTCCGCAATCTAGCTCCAAGTGATCCTCTTGTGACTCTATCAGCCACGACGATACAGCGAAAACAGTTATTGGAAAGAGATTCGGAAATTGAAAATTGGAAGAGAGTCAACGTTCTGGAAGTTGCGACGCCGAAAGTCCACCGTTGCGTTCAAGAGTTATCACTAGTTTTCCCGGCAGTCGTGACCGTCACATAGCGAGGTACAAGAGCATGAATCGGCGAGGCAGCTTTCGGTAACAATGATATTTGGGACCAGTTGTACAGATGCCCGGTGCCTGATACTGGCGTACCAAGAATCCATGAAAGGCTCGATTTGGCTGCTCCAAGATGGGCGGATGCCTTGCGGCAAGCAAAGTACTGAATGTTCCCTGACAGCAGCGCCTGCAAACGCTGGTAACCATGGACTATAGGTACGTCCTCCCTGGCTGAGACCCTACGACTCCAATCCACTGGCAGTTGCACCCTTTCAGTCTGTCACTGACTGTTCACTAGGGCCAAGGAGAGTACAACGCAACAAAATAGATATGGGGAGAGGATCAGACGATACGGATGGCTTCTCTGAGCACTGTGGTACACCACAGATGGACCATGGACGAAGCCCCCTTGGTACCCAAGTGCCCTTCGAGAGCCCGTCCAAGCAAGATTTTCGGGTACTACCAAGCCTTAAGTCTTTCATGCCGCACGCCTTGATGGTGATTAACCTCATACAAATCCGGCATCTCGTGGTGGTCATGATGGTCATGGTGGTGGTGGTGGTGGTGGTAAATGGCAATGATGGAGCAGCGCCCTCGACGTCCCCCGTCCGCACAATCATCTTCGCCATTGGCCTCTCCAGAGTGTTGGCGCTGCTGGAGCGACAGTGACCGCTCAGCAACGAGCTGCTTCACCGCGGCGGCATCGCCGATAACGGTACTGGCGGCAGTTGCTGTGTGGAAGTTCAATGCCGTGCAGGGCTCGAGTCTTGGGGTTGCATACCAATGCTTAGCCACAAGCATTATCGTCGTCGTTGGCTACGAGGTGCGGAGACTGCCGCTGGCGGAGGGGAAACTTGGTGAGCCAAGTGTTGAAGCCTGTCTCCGCTTCCTTCTTCACCATAGGTCCATGACCTTCGTCGCTTACCCAATCCGACAGCTCATCGGGATATGGACAAGCGACACTGGTATAGATGGCCTATCCCACCGATGTAACAAAGAAAGATAGCGGCGGCGCGGGTATGCTGGATATCTGCGGATATGCGACGGCGCTGCACGCGCTGGAGGGGCAACGGACTAAAGGTTATGTCAACTCGCAGTTTGGATTCAGAGCTCCTATGGAGAGGTGTAAGGGTATCGTCTGCTGCTTATGTGGATGGAAACAAAGAGATTGTCTAGATGGTGCTTCGGTCGAGGTCCGAGGAAAGGCTGGAGAGGGGTGTCAGGACGCGCTTTGTAGTTCCGTGGAATCAACCCCATCTTCTTCCAAATCATTTATCCTACTTTATCAGCTTGGGGTGTTTGTTTATTTGCCTGCAAAAGCACTTCAAAGCAATGGCCGTCCTTAACAACAGTTGTTTCTTAAAAAGTACCGGCTCCCTTGGAGGTTGAACGCGCGGTAGATGTTAGACTGTTTACGGACAAAGCGTGAAACAAAGAGAGCCCTGACCAGCAATGATGCCTAGAATTTACTGATGATGCATATTATTGACTAATTTTCGACCTAATACACCCCAAAAAAGCTGTGATGATGGTTTTTCTAAGGAAAGGTTATTTGTCTCGGCAGTCACGTATCGTATTCATAGTCACTACACAAGGAACCGGAAACATGTTGTAGCGGACAAGGGAAAATTATGTATATTATCATCATCATCGAATACTCCAAAACGAAGACTAGCACAGGCCGAGAATAGTGGAGCTGTTCAGCGTGGAGGGTTTGCTGCTGCCAGACGGGACAGCGCGCTCGCCACCCACCTCACCAACTCCATCAAGAAAGATCCCTCTACTACGTTAATATACCACCCCCAGCATCTTTACCGTTACGGTCCGATCCGAAAATTCCTTCTCCGTCCAGCATTCTTGTTAACAATTGCGCCAGTCAAGTATAAGGAACTGGAAGCAGAATCCCTCGGTCCGCGCGGCGCGCCCGGTGCGTCGTCGTCGTTACTACCATTCCCGCATTCTGTACTCTTTGACTTTGGCTGGAGCAGTGAGGGCAGTGCCCTGGTATCGCTGGAACGATGCTAAGAGAGATTAAGAGGGAACGTGTAGTTACTGCGGGGGAGGCGGTTGTGGGTGTTGTCTCCTTTGTCGGAGACCGAGGTGCAGAGGTTGTGGTAATCCGTATTGGTCTTTGCTGTGCGAGAACTTGAACGGGAGGCTGATGTACCCGGGGTGAGGAGGTCGTGATGGCGAACAGCAGGTAATGGTTGAATGGGAGGCGCTTCCACAGTTCGTCCTTGAGTAACTGCGGCGTAGGTTTGGCATCGCGGCAATGTTCCTGGACACGATGATGATGATGATGGCCACTACCGGCAGCAGCTGATATCGTACTCTGCGGCAGGATGTCAATCAGGTCATGGTCGGTCAGAGGAAGATGTGTGACGTGCCTTTGTCAAAGCGCAAGATGCCAGTAGGGAGTGTGTGCAGTGAGTGCGGCGAGAGCGTGGAGCGAGGCTTCTTGCTGGAGCACAGTTTCTTTGACGTTCTCGACCAGTAGCGGCCAGGTGAAGCCTCTGAGGCAAGGACGCATGTGTAAAGCGTGGTGGTGTTGGTGGTAGGGAGCGTGATGGGGGCCGGGCCATGAGAGGAGAAGGTTAGGGGATAGCTGGTGACAGCTCGCGGCAGGTCACGCAGGCAGACAGACACCTAGGTAGGCTCCAGCGGAGATGACGTCAAGTATCAACGCCTGCGAAGCCAGGCATTGCTCCGAAGACGCAGCTCATAAGCAAGGTCGGCTGCACGCCAGCGAGGGGCATTGTCACTGAACAGCGAAGACGGTATCGCGGGTACAGGGGCTTTGGAAATCACTTGAAAGAGAAATAGAGAGCTGAAGATTTCTATCTAGATCTATAGACATGAAAGAGAAAATGTAACAATCACTCGTCATCCAGGTCCACAGGACAAGAACATGGATGTTAGTTTGAATGCCGTCGCGCCGGTAGGGACAAACACACGAGTTGATCTTGGATGATTTGTTGGACAGCCAAAGCCATGGAGAGAAGGCCAAGGGTGTGAGTGATCGTCCGTTAAGGTCTTGGAGAAGAAAGGGAGAAGGTTTGGTGTGGGGGGACGGCGTTTATATACGCTGAGATTCGGCGCTAGTGCCGCTAGCCGAGGAGCCTATGCCTGCGCCGGGTGGAAGCAATAGCGTTCTCTTGCCTTCACGAGCCTTCCAGTTGGTTCGCTCTGCTGCTAGGCCGACAGTCCAGCTCCCTTGCAGCTTTTGTTTTCAGACCTGCGCAAATTGCATATAAGAAGTATTCCCGCCTCACGCTGAAGCCTGCAGCCCACAGGTACTCCCATTCTTACTCTGCTCTGCTTCGTCTAGGCTAACAAACATTCCGCGCAGGGGACATGCACTACTGTCAGCTCGGACTGAGACGAGCCCCAATCATAAACCTGCCGCGACCTAACCCAGGTCCTAGGCTCCAGCCCCTTCACTGCGCTTCAACAACCGTCAACATCATGAGCTGGACTTACTAAGAGGGCGCGTACGCAAAAAACTAGTAGTACGCCGACGATAGAAGCGCGTTTTCACTGAGAGCCTCAGCCAGCGCAAGTACAAGGCCTCGTTCGACGACAACATCGAGGGCAAGGGCAGGGGCAAGGGCAAGGGCATCATCCTGCTGCTGTGCGGCCCGCCTGGCGTAGGCAAGACACTGACGGCGAGCCGTCGCACGAGCTGCGCACTGGTGCAGTACAGACTCACGGCGCGAGAAAGTGGAAGCTCTAGGGGGATCCAGCCGCTGGAGGTAGAAGATAAACGAGGGGTTATTGCTGTCGCGGCAGCGAGGAGGGGGATAGAGGTAGACTAGTCGACGCCCCTTAACTTAGTGTGCCATCGTCACTTGCGCTGCGGCAGCAGGAAGTCTGGGAACTAGATACATACATACAGCGTTATTGGTGGTTAAGTTGTAGGCTCGAGCATCTTCCTCTGCACCCAGATGTTGCTAGAGTCCTGTAATGACAGTCTACTTGCTGCCATCATTTCAGCCAGCCGAGCATGGTGAAGCCCTCCTCGGTGAGGATGTTTGACGCCGATAAGTCTGAGATAGAGCCACAAGTCGAGAGAGCGCTGAAGAGGCTCCATGAGCTGCTATCGTGCTCTCCTTGAAAACCAAAGCCGTACAAAGTAGCAACTCTGCAGCTGAGCTACCCCCTACTGCAGCCGAGTCCGCCGTGGCTGATCCCGGCACCAGCGCCTCACCCCAGCAGCCGCCACGCCACAGAGAAAGCCCTCGAACCCTCTCGCGTGCACCCGCACCAGCACCACTGACGTAACTACCCACGCACGAGCCACTGCCCCGCCTATAAAAACCCCCTCCCCACGCACCCACCCTCCCTTTTTCTCTCCCCATGGACAGACGGGTCTTTGTTCACAGGGTAACCAGCCCCCTAAAGTCTTAGCCCGGAATCGAAGAGAATTAACACTGTCGGGTCTGTTTGGCTTGGCACCCTCAGACCTGGGTCCTTATTTAGAGTAGCATTGGACCCGTCCGCAAATGCAGGTTTTGTTCGCGGACGTTTTTTTGGAATCCGTGCCGCTCGTATTGCACTGTTTCGGGCTGGCGCGCTTTTTCATTGCTGTATGAGGCTTGTCTTCGTCTGCGAGGAAGAAGTTTGGGGCTTGGGCAGGAAGGAGCACACCTTTGTGACTTGTCTTGTTCGTTAGATCGGCACTGGGGAGGGCCGAAACTATTAAGAATTTGCTGCAGAGGATAGTTGGCAGGGAGTTTCGTAGGTTGCTGCGGCCCTAGGTAGGAGTGAAGTCTGTCGCGGCCCCTCCAGGTCGCGTC